TTCAATTTGCTCTGTGATTTATTTTTTTAGATGTGAGCAGGCTATGTATCATGGCTACTATGGATATCTGCTGCTACTTAAGAATCTGGTTGGTGGCAGGTAACACATGTGATTTTCCACAGTTTTTGGTCACATGGACAGCCAGTCTCCACACAACAGGGATCTCTTTATTTTCATATTTATTTTCTATAAAAAGCAAGCAACAGTGGTGGACAGTGGGGTATGAGATTGGGAGTTCCATTCATGAGAGGTGAAAAATTATCCTTCAGAGTCTCTTTTGTAGACTATATTTGAGTTTAATGTTAACACTCTTACATTATTTCCAAGCTTGGGGGAAAACTTACCAATAACAGTAACCTAAACAACTGGAAATACCATATTTTTCTGTGTATAAGACTATACTTTTGTCTAAAATCTTAGACTAAAAAATTTAGGGTCATCTTATACACGGATGTAAGCTGAGGAGACAACAAAAAGAAGTGGCAGAGAAAGCAGGGATCAAAGTGATCCTGCAGCACTTTGATCCCTTTTTCCCTACACTTGCTAAGCCCCACTTAGATTTCTTAAGTTTGGATTAGAAAAGTGGGGGTGTCTTATACATGGGGGTGTCTTATACACGGAAAATATGGTATATAGGGATAAACCTGTGCAAATCTGTGTTTCTGGACCATAGCTCCCAGAATTCCCCAGCAGTTGAAGCAATTCTGGAAGCTGTAGCACAAAAACACAAATCTGAATACATCCATAGTGGGGTCTCAACTAAGTTTCTGTGTAAAGCACAGAACAAGGGAAAGCCAACAGGCAGTGGGTGAGGACCCATACATCATCTGAAGACTTTGATGTGGCTCTTTCTGTCAGTCAGAGCAATCTAAAGCAGATAATCCTTTTCCAACTCAAAAGCAAGCAGGGGAAACCTCTGAAACAGCCTGGATGAAACAGAGCTGCAACTGTAAACCATATGGAGCTCTCTGTAGCCGCACTACCAAAATAGATTTCTTAGAAAGAAACTGTTTCAGAACACTGTCTAACAATTTCTACCCAATCACCTTGCTTCAATACCACACATACACAGAGAGAAAGAAAGACAGGATAGAAATGCAAATTATTTCAATTTGGTCTTTTTTAGAGAGTTAAAAATTGTCATGTTTGTGGATCAATAAAAACAGTACACAAGGATTTCATTTTTAAAAAAATTATTTGAAAACTAAGACTTCAATACAACTATTGTAATAAATTAAAAAGATAGAATTAATAACTACCAAGGAAAGGGGGAAAATCCTTGTTAATAAAAAGCACTTACTCTTAATACATTACTATCCTTACTACTAACATTTAGTGCTCCCCACCACTGGGACCTTTTGAGATCCCTGTTTTATTAATTATTATTAATATTTATTTATTTATTTTCTCATTACAAAACCCCTTGATCCTTCCAAAAATACCACATTTCTTGTGCTGGCACCTAACCCTAACCCTCTCCCTAGAACAAATTCTACAAAATCTCCCCATATATCGCTAAACATATAACATGTCATCATTAATGGCTAAATTCCATATTTCTTTATGACCTTCACTTAACTGGAAAAGTGTAGAATGATTTCGACATTTATTCTTAAAGTAAAAATACCAGCTCTGTTAGATGCAAAGCTTTGCTTGGATTTTTTAAAAACTACCATTCTTATTATGTTGTTACATATGCAGTTTTTGATTTTAATTGTAATCCATCCTAGAGGTTTCTGCACTAGGGTGTGGAATAAACAAACTGTAACATTAGGCTTGATATCTGAGGCACCTTAAGGATTCAGGCAACCCTAAACTATTTTCTGGGAAATCAGTGTGTGTAGGATCACACTGTGTTCCAATGCTTTGTCTGCATTCTATTCACTTTGTGAAAAGCAATCTACATGTTTCTGTACTGTTCCAATTGTATTATCGCATTTCCTCCCACGTCCTACGCCTCTGATCTGCCCCGAGTGCCTGCTAAATAAATCAAGAACAGGTAGAATAGCTCTGCTCAAGAGCCAAGGCAGTTTAACAGCCAACAGAACCATGGAGAGCGCTCAGGAGAGCAGCCTACGGAGATCAACCCTGCCTGTTACCCAAGCAACAGCAGAAGGAGAGCTTGCAACGGATTTAGATATTTTGAAAAGGGGAAAAGCAATTCCTTTCCGAGATGTAGCAGCACGATCAACTAACGCTGCAGCCCAAATGCCTTGGGGGAGAAAACCTATACACGATGGAAACATGCATCACACTGATTATGCTTCTGTCCTGGGCAATCAGACGTTCTCCTATATACTGTATATGGTCCGAGCTTTGTAGCCCTAGCATATGTGCACTTGTGAACAATTCACACTCAGAAACTATCTTCCCCTGACATTGTATTATCACCAGCAGTCGATACAGCTGTATGAGGTACGAAGCTTAATGCCAGATAAATTGCTCCAAATGCACAAGATCTGTTCCCACTGCAGGCTACACACTACTCTTGTAATGCAGACAAGAGGCATGGACCTGAACAGACAGACTATTGGAGGCAGTCTGTACAAAAAAAACAACAGCCTGCACTTAAAAATATATTCTGCCTGCATCTGGCTTACGTAACTAGAATTTTAATACAGCACAAAGATTCCCGTATTGCTTTTATGACTACCCAATGGGTTAGTATTCAGCTTACTCCTCCTGGTAGCCCACTAAGGTTACTGTGAGTGGATGTACTTGTTGACTCCAAACAAACAAACAAACAAGTCTATTAAATATGAAAATGTCCTATTCATGTTTGATAGCCAAAGATCCACTAGTGATTTCTGCTTTCATAAGGGAAATTACCTATGTTTTGGTGGCTAATTGCCACTCTTTACTGAAGTGCTGGTTGAAATGCCCGTCTAAGAGCCCTTAACAGTGGATGGGGTTCCATTCTGACTACTTTATATGTATACTTTATATATAAAGTACTGTAGTCAGAATGGAAGCCCATCCACTGCTAAGGGCTCTTTGATGGGTATTTCCCTCTAAACACTTTCACAGCCAAGAGGTTATACTACTCTGTTCAAGAGAATAGAATAATATTGCTTCATGGAGTTGAAAAATGGAGGAGAATATCCCTTATCTCCAAAACAGCAGAGACACCCAATCCCCTGCTAAAGATTCTAGAGTAGGGGTGGAGTGAGAAGCTTCCAATCCACTTGAGTCATTTTTGAAAGGCAGATGATATCCTTTTTGTTTTCCACCAAAATGAAACTTTATAAAAAAGGAATTGAAATCTGAAACATAAAAGAACTAAATACAGATTAAAATTTTCTTAAAGAAAAGAGTTCCATGAATTATTTCAATTTACAGAAATCAAAACAAGAATAAGAACAAGACAAAATTGGAGTATAAATAATTCCCATGTCATCAGATGCATTACATAGCAACTGAGAATGTGTTGTTACACAGTGCTAGTTACTATTCATTGGCCAAAATCCTGTTGAACAGCATAGTAAATTGCACTAGAATAGGCCCATTAAACCAATGGGGATTTTGTGAGTTAACTCCTGCATAAGTTCCATTGATTCAAATGGGTCTACTGTAGTAGCAACTTACTTTAGCATAGCAGAAAATAGAACAAGCCTATTTGAATCAATGGAACTCACACTCGCTAAATCCCCATTGATTCAATGGGCCTATTCTAGTGCAAAATGAAATCCAGCACTAAGTCAAAACTAAAGTAGGCCCACTGAACCAATGGACATTTGGTAACTCAACAACTCTGCAAGTTCCACTGATTCAATGGTCCTACTCTAGTTGCAACTCATTATTGCAACTAGAGTAGGCCCACTGAATCATTATTGTCGGCCAATGTATTTGATAAAGTGGGCTCTCTTTACGTTCCAACATGCATCCGTTAATTAAAGAGGCACGAGCTGCTATTCTTCTTCTTTGTCTTTTGTGTTACAGCACTATTTCCCCCATGGAACTGAACATAATTATAATATAGTTTATCAAGATATATGAATTATTACGTGCCTTAATGAGAGTTCAGCCTAATGCTCCTCAAAAGTATACACATAATACCCATCAGGAAGACCAGTTTACCCACCAACATCATATTTATCCCAGAAATATTGATCTGCAGTACTGTAGTAAAAAACCAAGCCCTGTACTTAGTGTTATCAAATTCAAAAAGTTCATTGCAATTTGCATATTCATCCTAATTATTTCAGTGGAATTTTCTGCCAGGAAAGGTTACATACCCTGAACTGTTATCTGGTTCACTGCTCACACTTATCATCAGAACAAAGGTTCTTTTTCAATCATTTAATTAATTTACATTAGACGCACAAGGAAAATCTTGCTTGAATTCTGAACTCATTGTGTAAGATAATTGAAAAATAAATGCAAGATAACTTCAGTCTGCTAGCAGATTAGAAGTGTACTTCTTATACACCAAAAATCCACAAGGACTCTAGAAGGGAAGGTCTTCAAATGCTGATTTGTTTTTACTGGCCAGACATTATTTGTTATTCAGTGCTAACAACCTCCAAGTATTCCACTAGTTTCCTTTAACAATGAATAGCCTGCAGCTTGGAGAAGATATAAAACAGCAGGTTTAAAGCCTTGGAACAGACTTTTGCCATTTCTTGTCTTCTTCAAACTGCACTGCAATGGATGGCTTTAGAGAATAGGCCTTGCTCGCCTTTGGAATGGCTCATTCATGAATTCATTAAAGCTTATTAATAGGCTGCAATGAAAATTTCTCTTTTAAAAGGGCACCACAATGATTTTGTGGAAGAATAGTCATGCAAGACAGGTAAAAGACAAGCCAAATATGTTTCGTTTGTACCATTTCCCACCAACCCTGTAACTTAGTTAGTTGGTCTAATATAAAATATTGCCGTGGTACCAAACTTTGGCTTTTAAAAATAGAGCAGAGCATATAATGCAAACCTTTTTGTAAACTATTGGTTCTGTAGATAGCATAAGATGCGCACTGCAGAGGCAGGTATAGGAGAGTTTACCTCAGAAAGTGCTTCATGACGGTAACTTTGCTCTTCAATCCCAGCAACTATCTTCAGCTGATCACAGGTAAACTTCTTCACTGGAATGTATTTATGCTGTGAAAACAAGATTTAACATTTTTAGTAAGCGAAAAGTTTCAATATTCATAGTTAACAAGTGCCTATATATCATTAAGAGATATTTTCAAATGACTTCATGTTACAAACAGAACAAAAAAATCAATATGATCGATTCCTTTATTATGATCCGTAGATCAGATAAATATAAAATTATATTGATTGATGCAACCAAGTTTCACATTGGCTCCCCCCTCCCACCATATCACACTGTTGTATCATGTTCAACTTAGGGTCTACTAAGATTCCTGGATTTTTTTCAACATCTACTGTTGCCAAGCCAGCTGTTACCCATCAAATGTTTTAAGTATCTGCTTTTTCCTGCCAAAATGTATACCATTACATTCACCTTGCTGAAACCCACATAGCTCCAGACCAAATCTCCCCACTGTCTAGGTCATCCTGAGTCTTGATTTTGTCTTCTGGACATTTTATCTTCCGAGTCCTGATTTTGTCTACCCTCCAATTGGTTGTCATCTGCAAATCTAATGAGCATCTCTTCTATAACTTCATCTATACAGATGTGAGTAATACTGGCCCAGGACAAACCCCTGTGACATTCCACTTAACTCTTCTTTAAAGGATGATGAGGAACCATTGGTGTGTACCTGCTGGGTATGGTCTGTTGGCCAGCTATAAATCCTCCAGGCAGCAGCATCGCCTATCGTAGCCATTCTCAACTTTTTTTGGCCATGGTCAAAATGAAAGAAATATAGGCCGATATGAAGGAAATATAGGCCAAATCAGGATTGTGTAAGTTGCATCAGGATTGTGTAAGTTGCATATAAGGTGGGTTGTGAAGAATTGTTTTCAGTCTGTGGTCCCCTTCAAATGGGGCCATGTGGCCCCCACTGAGAATAGCTGACCCAGCCCACTTTTTTCCAGCGCAGTTGCTAGAATACCATGAGGATCCTTCTCAAAAGCCTTGCTGAAATCAAGAAACACTATATTCATACCCATTCCCTCACCTTGTGACTCTGTCAAAAAGAGGGATAGGACTATTTATTTTTGAGAAACCCATGCTGGGTCTTAGTGACTGCAGTGTTCTTTTCTAAATACTCATAGTATAGTGTTGGCACCCTTCAGTCTCAAGAGACTAGGGTAACGTGCTCTGTATGGAGATCTTGGAACAGCGTCTAGTGTGGCTGAGAAGGCCAGTTTGAGAGTTACAATCCCTTCCAAACTGGACAAATACAATCTGTCCCGTCCAGCTCCCTGATTTTGCTGCTTTGGGGACTGCCTCTTTGCCTTGGCCTCCTGGACAAGGGTCTCTTCAAATTGGGAGCGGCCATGATACACCGCCTGCCTCCAGGCTGAACACTTAGATGTCAAGGTTTCCCATCTGTTAAGGTCCATTCCTAAGGCCTTCAGATCCTGATTGCAGATATCCTTGTGCTCACAGGACAACTGTGCTCATAGAACCTCTGCTTGATATAGATGTCAAGCTGTTTGGTCAATAATTGACTAGATCTTCTTTCCCACATTTGAAGATGGGGATGACATCTACTCACCTCCAAGTCTTCAGGGGACCACACTTGTTCTCCAAGAATTCTGAATGACTAGGAAGAGACACTCTAAGATTACATTAGCAGATCCCCTTAATACCCCTTAATATCCTAGCAGATCCCCTTAATACCCAAGCCCAGAAGACCTGAATTCATTGAAAGCACCTCAGTGTTCCCATACCACTTCTTTACTGACCTTGGGCCCTCCCTTATTTATACTATCTGCATTAGAAAGCACACAGTTTTCCTTCTGGGAGAAGACAAGAGACTAAGTAGGTGTTTGGTACTCCTGCTTACTCTCTGTCCCTTCCTTGGTACTCCTGCTTACTTTCTGTCGATCTACAATTTCCTTCTCCTCCTTCTTACTTCAAGTAGTGCTGAAAACCTATTTTCTCTTATTTTTAACCTCTTTCACAAGTTGGAGCCTATTTTGAGCTGCTGATCTTAATAGCCAAGAAGGTGCATATGGGGAGATACGGTCCTTCAGGTATCCTGGACCCAAGCTGTGTATTATTAGCTATTCTTTGGTACTCCTCCTTGGTAAGTTGGCCCTCCTTCCTCCTTACACATTACTTTTTAAAATTTGAGCTCATCTGAAAGCTCATCATGGAGCCACCCCAGTTTTTTAGGTTTCTCCCACTTTTCTTTTTCACAGGAATTATTTGTAACAACACCTACAGTATTCCATGTTTAAGTGTTTCTTTTATATATATATATATTTCTGAATTTCAGATCTCACTCAGGGGCTGAAATCTATGTTGGCAAAGCTTTGCAGCATAAATCAGCCCACAAAATTAATCTTTAATTTAATTTAAAGTTCCCTATCCTCCCCCTTCTGGTTCTGGGATCGCTTTTGACCTGGGGAAACCTTTGAGTGTCTTGGGATGGGAGGAGGGAATCTTTTGAAGAGAAAGCAGGATAAAACTATTTTAAATAAATTAAATTAAAAAATCATTGCTGGATTGCTGCTGGTGGGATCAGGACCATCACCTGCAATTCAGTGGCAATTACTGGGTATTAAAGGCTCCTCTTCCCAATTTCAAGGCTCCCAAAACCAAAACGGATCCCTAAGGAGCTTTGAAATCTGCACTGTTTTAAATTAAATAGCAATGCCTGCGGGTGATGATGTCATTGCCACTTATGCCCACAGTGTTGCACAACAGAATTTCAGTCTGCATCTCCTTAAGCTTATCAAAAGGAGATGTCTTGTTGCACTACTTGGAACTTTCCTTTTTATCAGTAAAAGAAAGCCCAAGAAGGCATGGCCATTTCCCACCCAACCTCTCCCCTTTCCACCAGCTGATTTCCCTTGTTGCATCCTCCACCTTCTGGACTATGAAATCGCCAGTATGACATATCAAGAATTTGTTCAACCTTGTATTTTAGGCCAACTTTGTCTGCTGACAGGTACCAGCTGGTTAAAGTCTCCCATTATGATTATACTTCTCCCCCATGTGTGCAAACTCTAGCAGATTTCCACTGGTGACTTCAGTCTGCATGTGATTTCATCGCGCTGTGTATCAGTCACATGCACCCCAAATTCATCAAAGGAAGCCTTTAATCTGCAGTGACTTGCCACCACTGCTGACACCATTCCCATTGCACATGCAGAGCTGTGCAAGAGGATTTCAGTTTATGAACACTGTATCCGGCTTCATCATCTGTTTCCACGCAGGTCAGAAAGGAGGGGTGGTGGTGTGTGGGATCTGGTAAATCTTGGCAAGCTCTCTGCCGTATCCTAGATCTTGACCACCAAGGACACAGCATACCTTCCAAGACATCCTCTCAGGGTTGTAAACTGGGCTTCTGTCCCCCTCAAAAGAGTACAGTACTAGACTTTTGCCTACCTATCTCTTACTTTCCCAACAGCTTAAGTACCGTGCGCTCCCAGAATAAAAACATGGCCAACCTTCAACTATACTATGCAAGCCAAAGAGGCAGCTGACATAAATAGCCACCCTTTTATCTGCCTACTGATCCTCCTGCCTCGTTTCTTCTTTCAAAAAGGCTGTGAATATATAAAAGTATAATGTCTCCTGCTAAAAGGAAAATAAGCAAGCGTTCGAGAAGTGACTTGGAGACCATGCGTACATTGACATCAAGAATACACAAGCGGGAAATGGCGAAAGCCTCTTTCATTAAGATTGCTTTTGACTGGTTGAATCCTCTTGTCATCCCCCAAAGACCCTTCTAATTACCACTGCCAGCAGTGACACCTGCTTCAGGAGGAGAGAGAAAGAGGCTACCAGCAGCAAACTGATTCATTAACGAACTCAGCAGGCTGGCTTCTAACACGCCCTCAAGATGCCTTTGATGTTCCTTACATAACAGCAAGGCGCAGGCTGGGGATGGAAAGCAGAAATTAAAGCGGCCCAAATCCTTCTTCCAATCTGACGGCAGCATTTGGGGGAGAAAGACAGCATATGGAACGCATGCATATGCTGTACACTCTATTGGGTTTTGCTCTCTTGGGACATGCAGGCTATAGGGGCAGCTCTTTCAGGCTTGCAGGGGGAAAAACAGACATGCACAACATAGACACACAAATGGCTGCTACAGTCTTTTTATGAGCCACAGAAAATGTTAGAAGTTGGGTTGGGTTGGACCAAAGGCCCATCGAGTCTAGCATTTCCTTCACACACTGGCTCTTTTGATTTGAGTTTTGACTTCCCAAGCAATTATCGTAACTAACTGCAATGCTGACACTTGCACTCAAGCAATGTCATCACCTTGCAGGAGCTTCTCACCCTTTCTCATCACGAAAGAGGCAGAGGAAAAATGTTATAGCTGTATGATATGGTATGGTACAGCACCGTATGGTATGGGAGGTATGACGCCACTTTTCAAACACTTGGAAAGTATTCACACAGAGGAAGGAAGGGCAGGATCTATTCTCGATCATCCCAGAGTACAGGACATGTAATAATGGGCTCAAGTTACAGGAAGCCAGATTTTGGCTGAATATCATTCCGAACTGTTAGAGCAGTACGGGAATGGGACCAATTTGGAGGTGGTGAACTCTCCAACACTGGAGGCATTCAAGAGAAAACTGGACAAGCATCTGTCAGATCTGCTTTGGTTTTGATTCTTGCATTGAGCAGGGGGTTGTACCATGTTTTCCCCAATATAAGACTTTTGCTCCAAAAATGCATTAGGGCTTATTTTCAGGAGATGTTTTATTTTACAGTTATGTCCTCTTCTGGTTGCTGCACAATGGTGGAGGGCGGGGTTTCACTTAACTGTGGCTTATTTTTGGGGTAGGGCTTATATTACAAGCATCCTGAAAAACCATACTAGGGCTTATTTTCAGGTTAGGTCTTATTTTGGGGGAAACAGGGTACTTGACCCTATAGACCCCTTCCGCTCAATTCTTCTATGATTGTATGGTATCGCACAGAAGAGCCATGGATTCAGCATGATGACCACAGGTCGAAGTGGGTGGCTTGGAAAAATGGAAAGCAAAGGGAGAACTCGGGG